CTCCTGATAACATGTCCAAAGTATGTGAGACATAGTCTCACCATCCTTGCTTCTAAGGAGCATTCTTGTTGTACTTCTTCCAAGACAGATTTGTTCATTCTTTTGGCAGTCCATGGTATATTCAATATTCTTCGCCAACACTGCAATTCAAAGGTGTCAATTCTTTTTCGGTCTTCCTTACCATATGATTGTCCAATTCAAGGTGCCGATACCAGTCCATTTCAACTCAGTAATGCCTAGGATATGGATGTTTATGCATTCCATTTCATTTTTGACAACTTCCAATTTTTCTAGATTCATACTTCGTACATTCCATGTTCCAATTATTAGTGAATGCTTGTAGATGTTTTTTTCTCATTTTGAGTTGTACCACGTCAGCAAAGTTGACTCTACTTTGAGGAGACAGCTCTTCCTTAGTCGTATTTTGAGTGCCTTCCAACCTGAGGGACTCATCTTCCGGCACTATATCAATCAATGTTCTGCTGCTATTCATAAGGTTTTCATTGGCCAATTTTTTTTTAGAAGTAGATTGCCAGGTCCTTCTTCCTAGTCTGTCTTAGTCTACAAGATCTGCTGAAACCTGTCTACCATGGATGACCCTGCAGGTATTTGCAATACTGGTGGCATAGCTGTCAGCACCACAGCTACATGCAAGCAACCACAGTACGACAAACTGGCAGATGAGTGGTTTGGAAGACAACTACCTGGCCAACTGACTGGAAAAGATCCATATTTGTGCCCATTTCAAAGATATGTGATCCAATGAAATGTGGAAAATTATCTAACAATATCATTAATATCACATGCAAGTAAAATTTTGCTGAAGATAATTCAAAAATGGTTACAGCAGTACCTCAACAGGGAACTGTCAGAAATTCAAGCTGGATTCAGAAGAGGACGTGGAACAAGGGATATCATTACTGATGTCAGATGGATCTTAGCTGAAAACTGAGAATACTAGAAAAGTGTTTACTTGTGTTTACCTGTGTGGATCATAAGAAATTGTGGATAACATTGCGAATAATGGGAATTCCAAAACATTTAATTTTGCTCATGTGGAACCTGTACATAGACCAAGAGGCAGTTGTTCAAACAGAACAAGGGGATACTGCAGGCTTAAAAATCAGGAAATGTGTGTGTCAGGGTTGTAGTCTTTCACCATACTTACTCAATCTGTATGCTGAGCAAATCACCCGAGAAGCCGGACTATATGAAGAAGAACATGACATCATGCTTGGAGGAAGACTCATTAACAACCTGCAATATGCAGATGATACAACCTTGCTTGCTGAAAGCAAACAGAACTTAAAGAGCTTGTTGATGAAGATTAATGAAGACTACAGCCTTCAGTATGAATTACATTTCAACATAAAGAAAACAAAAATCCTCAAAACTGGACAAATAAGCAACATTATGATCAATGGAGAAAAGATTGAAATTGTCAAGGATTTCATCTTACTTGGATCCACAATCAACACCCATGGAAGCAACAATCAAGAAATCAAAGGTCATATTGCATTGGGCAAATCTGCTGCAAAAGACCTCTTTAAAGTGTTAAAAAGTGAAGATGTCACTTTGAGGACTAAGGTGTGCCTGACCCAAGCCATAGTATTTTCAATCGCCTCATATTCACACAAAAGCTGTACAATGAAAAAGGAAGACTGAAGAAGAATTGATGCCTTTGAATTGTGGTGTTGGTGAAGAATATTGAATATACCATGGACTGCCAGAAGACTGAACAAATCTGTCTTGGAAGAAGTACAGCCAGAATGCTCCTTAGAAGCAAGGATGGCAAGACATCATCTCATGTACTTTGGACATGGTATTAGGAGGTACCAGTCCCTGAAGAAGGACACCATGGTTGGTAAAGTAGAGGCATCAGCAAAAAAGAGAAAGTCCTTCAACAAGATAGATTGATACAGTGGCTGCAACAATGGGCTCAAAAATGGCATCGATTGTGAGGATGGCGCAGGACCAGGCAGTGTTTCATTCTCTTGTATGTAAGGTCACTATGAGTTGTAACCAACTCAGCAGTACCTAATAACAACAACAAAATCATTATCATTAAGAAAGAAATCTGGCTGTTGTTAAAGATTAATAGCAGGTCTGGATGTTGAAAATTTCAGTCTAATAAATTTATTAATGATGATGATCAAACCTATTAAGATAAGTCAATATAAGATTAGATCATTGTAGAAGTTCAGGCTATTGATTTGCCAGACAGATTAGTAAATTCTGGGGCTTTTAACTGTTTTTTTAATGTGACTTACACAGGAACTTTTTACTCTTTCTTTCCTTATCTTTCAATATCCAGTGAAAAGTTTTGGAGTGTGGATAAATCAAACTCAAACATAATAACTCTATTATGTTATCCAGTGGTACGTTCGTTCCATTTAGACTCATTTAAGATTAGGATGTAACGTTTAAGATTGTAATTTAAGAATTTGATCACTTGGAGAAAATCATGTTCAACAACTCCCCCTCGTTCTGTTGTGTTTTTGCCAACCACCTTCAGGAATTGCCTGAGGATTTGAAGAAAACGTGAGGATAGAAAAGTGGTAAAGGGAGATAAGGTGGAAAACAAGGTGTTTTCGGTGATTCAGATATAGGGTAGGAAATTAAAGGTACAAAATTCAAGCTGGAAAATGGTGCTCTCATCTGGTTTTCTCCTGCTGCCTGCCCCCCACCCCCCACCCCCACCCCCGGCAAACACACACACACTGTAGTTTGGTGTGGAGAGAAACTCCTGGGATTGCCGTTTCTTTTAAAAATCACTATGTGCAGTATCTAGCTCAATGCCAACCTTCATTCCTCATGTATTGGGCTCCAGAGGGTGCAAGGCCCTGGTCTAGGTGCTTTGGGGGTACAAAGGGGAAGAAGACATAGTTTCTGAACTTGGGAGCCATAGACAGACCTTAGTTTGCATCCCTGTGCTTGCTACTGTGAGCCCTTGAATACATGACATAACATTTCCAATAATAAGAGCTTCTATTTATTAAGCCTATGCTGTGGGCCAGGCAGGCACCCTACAAATTCTGTCTCTAATATACATGAGAGTCCAGTGGGTTCTTATTCCCATTTTACAGATTATGCAACTGAGGCCCCTCTAATAAACTAGGATTTAAATCAAGTTCCCATGTTCTTTCCATGACATCCTTACAATTTCACCCTCAGTTTTCTTTCCTATGAAATGGAGTTTCATAGTGCCATCATCCTCTTACAATTGCTATAGGAATGGAATGGGATGGTGCATGATTATGTGCATGATGCAGAATTAAGCACACATATTTACATACTAGATGGTGGTTCTTCTTATTATGAGAGGAAATAGCATAAGAGGGTGTGAAGTGCCTGAAGTGCTGCATGAGTCCAGAGGAGGGAGCGACTATAGCTACTTGACAGGATCTGGTTTTGTGCAATTTGAGTGAGGCCCTGAAAGATGAACTGTGTCTGGATGTGTGGCAGGGATAGGTGAGAGTGGGAAGTAGGGAAACACTTTCTAGGTAAATTTTAAGCACGAAGAAAGGAAATTGTCGTGCCCACATGTGCATGTTCAGTGATTTTTTTTTTTTTTTAAGTCTTAGATTTTTAAGCATTTCGAGAAGAACTAGAAAACTTCAACACCTTTTTTCCTTTTTTAGAAGAATAACAAACATACCTTTAATTCTCCCAGATTAAATGAGACTTTATTCACAGAGGTGACTACCTGCTATCTTTGCTTCATAATATTTTAAAATAATATTTTATTGTGTTTTCAGTGAAACTTTGCACAGCAAATTAGGTTCCCATTTGACAATTTCTGTATCGATTGTTCGTTGACTTTAGTTTCATTGTCCACAATGTGTCAGCATTCTCTTTAACTGTGTTCTGGTTGTTCTGTCTCTAGTACTCTAGTTTCCCTGTCCCTTTATCTTCTCATCTTTGCTTTAATCATTGACCACATAGTACCTTAATCCTAGACAAAAGTACATAAATTTGGGAGCAGGGCCTCTGAGAAAGAGTGATATCCTAAATGTCATTATAGAAGCAACAAGACTGGTGAAGAGAGAGGTCCGGAAATGGGGTTTCCAGCCAGACCCTGCTGCTTCCTCTTACCTTCCTTGTGTACCTCCAGACCACACCCTCTGAAAAGGACCAATTCTACAAGTGAACACACTCTCCTGGCTAAGTCTAGATACAGCTGAATCAGTGTACTACACAGTTATAAAACAAGTAGGAAAACCCATTTTATTAAAGTAAAACCTGTGAAAGCCAGAACCTGTGTAAGGCAGAAACCTGTCAGAGAAGGAAAACTCAAGTATTTTCCACTAATACAGAGCAATAGAAAAGTACTAAGACTGCACCCTGTTAAAGGTGGAAGACTTCCAAGCCCCAGAAAAACAAGGCAGTCCTATAGACTTCTAGCTCTCACAGGTTTCACCGTACTTACAAAAACAAGCGTGTTTTCCTGCCACATCTCCCTGTTGGCAAACAGACTTTAAATGTGGATGGGATTAAGAAAGCTCTTGCAAACTGCAGAGAGAGGTGTTAAACCAGGCCTGATGTCTAATGTATCCAACCTAAACGTCAGCAGAGCTTACTTTTTTTTTTTTTAAATGTAGTTTCTATTTAAGAGTCTCAATTGTAATACATGGAAGAAGTTGTTCGTTAGTCACTTCCACATTTTTCAAGTAAAAAAAATATATATCAAGTTAGAGTAAATCCAACACAATCGCTAGAGAAACAGTGAGAGCAAAGGCAAAAGGTAAGTTGTTACTTAAGCAAAAATAAACAAGTCAAAGACTACCAAAAGAAAAAGTATATGCACAAAAATAGCCCTCCCCCTTCAAGAAATTCTCTCAACTCATTTTGCCATAGAGGAAGATAAGTGTTACAATATCTCACTAACCAATCGGCAGCGTTGCAGGCCTCAAACCAGGAAACCCTTTAAAGTATAGTACTTTAAACTATGCAAGTGAGACTTCTGTCTCTCAGCTAGTTTTTGTTCCCTGTGCTTGTAGGCTGGAAGAGCAGATGTGAAGTCTCTCATGGCGAAGTTTAACACAGGGGGCAACCCCACAGAGGAGGTCTCAGTCAACAGTCGACCCTTCAAAGTCACAGGGCAAAACTCACCTTCAGGAATACAAGCAAAAATGAATTTATTCAACAACCAAGGCAACGCCAGCCCTCCTGCAGGACCCAGCAACGTGCCTAAATTTGGGTCCCCAAAGCCACCTTTGGGAGTGAAACCTTCGTCTGAGGAAAAGCCTGACAAGGAGCCCAAACCCCCATTTCCAAAGCCTACTCCTGGAGTCAACCAAAGATTTGGGACGCTGGCAAACTCGTCGAACAGAGACCCTGAGGCGAAAGTGGGAGTTCTGAAACCTGTAGGCCCCAAGCCTATCAACTTGCCCAAAGAAGATTCTAAACCTGTGTTTCCCCGGCCTCCTGGGAATAAGCCAACGCTTCATAGCGTAAACCAAGACAATGACTTAAAGCCACCAGGCCCAAAGCCCAGGTCTAATCCTCCAGCCCAGGAAAATGAACAGAAGCAAGTTTTCCCAAAGTTAGCTGGGGTTAAAGGCAAGTTTATATCTGCCTCTCAAGATCATGACCCCAAACCCCTCTTCCCCAAACCTGCCTTTGGCCAGAAGCCGTCCCTGAGTACTGATGCCTCCCATGAAGATGAGAGCCTCACTAAGAATGTGTCTCCACAGAAAGGACCCCCAGCTCCCCTAGGAGCCAAATCTAAACCTGGCCCTTTAAAACCAGCAAGGGAAGACCCAGAGAATAAAGACCAAGGAGGTAATACATCAAGTTCACCTTTCCCTGGAGTGGTTCTGAAACCAGCAGCAAGTAGAGGGTCTCCCAGCCTCTCCAAAAATGCTGAAGGAAAAAAAGAAGAGAGGAAAATAGATGCTGCCAAGAACATCTTCCTGAGCAAAATGAATCAGGAGGAGTCGGCCTCCGGGGCTCCACCTGCGAAGTTCCCTAAGGCATCTTCTAAGCTGACAGTGGGAGGGCCATGGGCCCAAAGTCAAGAGAAGGAAAAGGGAGACAAGAATCCAGCCATCCCCAAGCAGAAGCCATTGCCTCCCTTATTTACCTTGGGCCCCCCTCCACCAAAACCCAGCAGACCACCAAATGTTGACCTGACGAAATACCGAAAAACCGCTTCTGGAAATGGTGAGTTCTTGTCTTGTTTTCCATTTAGTATGTTTCTTTCCATAGAAGAGAATGTTTTAACTTCCAGAGGGAAGAAATTGACAAGGAATGATTCCATAACTGGTACTCATGCGTATGTGACGAATTTTGTTTGGCGTTTATTTTTCTTTGGTGTGGGAGGTCTGAGAAGGTAGGAGGCCTTAATTCCATGTAGGCATTCTATGAGAAAATGCCCTCGGAGGCTGGTTTCTAGGGGAGATACATCCATTTGATTGATAAATGATTTTGCTTAATGACCAACATTTAATTTTCTTCCTTACTTGGGTGTCATTTCTATTGAATGTGATTGAAGTATGTTACTACTACAAAGAGTTACACAGAAAGGTGAGCAAACCTCTCAGTAAGAAGTTATCTACCGGGGGCAAGTTTACTCCTTCCCCCAAGGGACATGTAAGAATGTCTGGAGGCATTTTTTTTTTTTTTTATATTGTACTTTAGATGAAGGTTTCCAGAACAAACTAGCTTCTCATTAAAAAATTAGTACACATATTGTTTTGTGGTATTGGTTACCAACCCTACAATATGTCAACACTCTCCCTTCTTGACCATGGGTTCCCTATTACCAGCTTTCCTGTCCCCTCCTGCCTTCTAGTCCTTGTCCCTCGGCTGGTGTGCTGCTTTAGTCTTGTTTTGTTTTATGCGCCTGTCCAATCTTTGGCTGAAGGGTGAATCACAGGAGTGACTTCATTACTAAAGTAAAAGGGTATCTGGGGGGCATAATGTCGGGGCTTCTCCAGTCTCTTGTCAGGCCAGTAAGTCTGGTCTTTTTTTGTGAGTTAGAATTTTGTTCTACATTTTTCTGTCTGGAGGCATTTTTTATTGTTACAGCTGGAGAGTTCTACTGGCATATAGTAGGTAGAGGCCAGGGATGTTGCTAAACATCCCACAAAGCATAGGAATTATCCCATTACAAAGAATTATCTGACCCAAAATGTTAGTAGTGCTGAGGTTAAGAAACCTTCCTGTCAGTGATTTTAATTTTTCACACAATTCATCATACATTTCCGAAGACCCAATATTCAAATAAGAGACAAACAGGACTCTTGTGAAAAGGCATTTTCTGTTGCATATTTAAGCTGTTTTCTATTTCTCAGTGTAAAGTTTTTTGATCTTTTCTGGTTCATAAAGTAGCAAATAGCCAGGAAAATAAGTCAGACTTATTCTCCTTCTGGGTAAATAGTTAAATGTGCTACCAGACACGTTGCCACAATACTACGCCATGTGGTATTATTCAACACTGAATGATTTGGTAAAGCTTTGTAACTATTAGTGATAAGAGATGCAAGCTCAGTCATGCCCTGAATGGTTAACATTTTGGGCAAATGATATGCAACTGTTACTTATTGTAGGGAAAAGAGGATGCTTACCAGTAACCATACTACTATGAGGCATTTCTTCCCCTTACAAAATTATGGTCTAATTAAAGCAGATGATGCAGGACCCAGCAACATTTCATTCATGGCATCTCCATGAGTGGGAGCCGACTCCATGGCAACTAACAACAAAGCAATTCTAGGCCTAACAGTTGTGGGGGTTTTGTTTATTTTCCTAAGATCAGTATTATTTCTGTGTTGATAAACAGATGAGTGATCAAATCCTCCATTGGTTCTATCATGTGGAAAACAAGTTAGGAATGACTCTGTGATGATTCATCTTCCAGAAAGATTCAACCTCGTTACACATGGTGTCTCCTCCTCATCTGTCATCTTCTTGTTTCATTTCTGGCTCATAACTCAAAACTGTTATTCTTATGAGACCTTCTAAAATGTATTTCTTCTGTACCTCAGACAAAAATTAGCTATCATAACTTCATTTTATGGCTGTAACTTCATGCCGGGGGAAGCATTCTCCTGTTAAGCAGAAATCCTTGGAAGCTTTCTTCCATGTCCTCCACTTAACATCCAGGCTTGGTGTTAGTAACTGTTGTCTGAAGTCACACATTTGAATGAGTGCTAATGAAGTCCTGTTTCTGGCTCTGAACAGTGGCCACCAAGGCAGGCCCAGCAACATCAGTATTGAGCTGATTTTCAAGGCAGTAAAGCAACAAGGGACCCAGGCAAAATTACAAAGTAGGCAAAGTTTATCCTTGCACTCTGTATTAGTTTCCTAGGGCAGCCATAACAAAGTGCCACAAACTGGATAGTTAAAACTCTAGGCTCACAGTTCTGGAGGCTGGAAGTCATGCTTTTTCAGAAAGCTCTAGGGGAAGATCTTTTCTCATTTCTCCCAGCTTCTGGTATCCCCAGGTATACCTTGGCTTGTAATATGTAACTCCAATCTCTGCCCATCTTCACATGACTGTCTTTCGTCTATGTCTGTCTCTGTGTCTCTTCTCTTCTTTTTATAAGGACACCACTCTTGTTGGATTAAGAAACCCCCCCCCACAGACACTTCAGCATGGCCCCATGTTAACTGATAACATCTTCAGGGACCCTATTTCCAAACAAGGTCCCTTTTCACAGGTAGCAGGGGAAAAGACTTCAATGTATGTTTTTGGGCAACCCAGTTCAGTCCTTCTCCTTCTCTTCTGCAACATTGTCCCTCCTCCTGATGTGCTTCCCTTAGTCAGCACCCACTCAGGTGCTGTTGAATTTAGATTCTAAATCTTCTCATCAATGTACCCCCCAAACTCTGATCTTTAATGATATATAATGTTCCAAAATGAGCCCCATTCTCCTCTTCATCTACCTCCTCCATAAATCAAAACACCATCCCTCTAAATTTAAATTGACCTCAGTTTGGTGTCAGAATAGAGCAATCTGATTCAGACCTTTAAGTTCTGAATAGCAACCCTTTAAAGCATTCACATAAAACAAACAAACAACAACAACAGCAACAAAAACTTTTTTTTAATAGAAATTTACATTCTGGTTCAAAAAACAGGTAGCATAAAATGGTATACCGTGAAAGTCCTTTTAGACTTTGCCATTTGCTTGGGCTTCCAAGCCTCTGCCCCACAGAAACCATTCTTCATAATTTCTTATATGTCCGTCTAATGTTTCTTTATGCTTACCCATGAAAATATGAATGTAGATCCTAATCTCCCCACTTTTGTAAGCACACACACACACAAGAAAACCATTGCCATCCATTCGATTTTGACTCATAGCAACCCTATAGGACAAAGTAGAGCTGCCCCATACATTTTCCAAGGAGCAGCTGGTGAATTGGAACTGCTGACCTTTTGGTTAGCAACAGTAGCTCTTAACCACTGTGGTAGCAAATTGCATTTCAATGCTGTGATCCTGGCTTTTTTCTTTTCAAAATAAATCTTGGATATCTTTCTACATTTTAATAAAGCTCAACTGATTGTTTTTTATAATCGTGTAGTATTCTGATACATGGATGGCTAGCCTAATTGATTTAACAGTTTGTATGTTTCCAAACTTTTGCTATCAGAAATAATGTTGCAGAGAATAGCCATGTATATACAGGTAGTACTCGATTTATGACAGGATTCCGTTCCAGCAACTCCGTTGTAAATCGGTTCCGGTGTAAGTCAAATACCTCTTTGCACTTCATCGTAACTCAGATACGTCATAAATCGGGTCCTACTTGTAGGTCATAAAATAAGCATTTGTTTTCTGAATACAGATGCATCTGTTGAGCCCTAATTCCTTCATTGCCATTTTTCCTAAATCATGCTAGAAGTATTAAGAAATTTAGGAAGGTTTAAAATATACCAAAATTGAAACTATATATTCATGTTACATGGTAGCTGGATAGCAGGTTGAATAGTTGGCAAAGAAGTAAATTTTAGTGTAGCAAAACAAAAAATTCTGAGATTCTATTATTTATCCTGAGTGGCAACTTACTAAATATATATATTTGTAAATATATGGGTGTTTAGTATATAGGATCTTTAGAAGGGAAAGGTACTTTAATGGTCATTAAGTGTAATCATCTCCCTCATTTTGCAAGTGAGGGTTTTGAGGTTCAGAGATGTAACTTACCCAAAGTTATATGCTTGAGATTCAATCCTATGTCTTCAGATTCCAAGTTCACTACTTTCTCCATTTATCATTCTGCCTCAATATAATATATACGTTTGCATATGTTCATTCTCTCTGTGTGTAGAATGCATTTATATTGAATATATATGTGTGTATCATTACAAATGCATACACACACAATTTTAATGTTTTTCAAAGCACTCTAGTAGATGTTATTTCACTTAATTCTCACAATATCCCATGAAGTAGGTAGGGTAGTTTTAATGATCCCATTTTAAACCAAGGTGCGGAGCATGGAGGGCAACATAACAGTTACTAATAGAGCAGGGGCTAATATGGGAGTTTTTTGCTATATAATGTGGACTTCAGAATCATTAGACCTGGGTTTTGAGCTCCACTCATTTATTTATCAGCTGTGTAACCTTAGACAAATTGCTTTATCTTTTCCATCTAAGTTTTCTTTATTTGAAAGAAGTGAAGATAATGCCACTTATTTCACAGGTGTGTTCTAAGATAATAAGATATTTAAAGTGTTTAACACAGTATCTGGGATATAGTGAAAGTAAGTAAGTGAACACTGTATATAATTTTACCCATTGCCATGGAGTCTGTTCTGACTCATAGTGACCCTATAGGAAAGAGTAGAACTGCACCGTAGGGTTTCCAAGGAGCAGCTGGTGGATTGGAACTGCCAACCTCTTGGCTAGCAGCTGATCTCTGTGAGTCAAAATCAACTCAATAGCAATGGGTTTGGTTTTGGGGTTTGGTCTATAATTGTATTCTTTTTATTAGTATTAAAACTTCATTCCCAGCCTCATAATTTTTTCATTATTTTATATTACGAAAATTATTCTAGGAGTAATCAATCTGCATTTGACATACATCCTACTTGTAATAAGTAAATTTATTAGTGATATATGTGAAATTATGGCAAAGAGTTAAACAATGCCTGAAGAAATAGTTGCCACCAGAGGTACCTGGAAACTATATCTACTTTCCCTCCCCCTT